CTTGCCCTTGGAGAAAGCCTGCATGGCTCACTGGGAGGGAGGAGCCACTGTGCAGTTTGTGATGCTGTGAGTGGCAGAAGAGGATCAGGAAGACGATCTGAGGCTCACTGAAGATAGGGTAGAGGAGGGGGACACATCCTGGAGTTTCCTAGCCCCATCCCGTTGGCGACACTGGGTTCATCAGCCCGTGCAGAACCGGAGCATCTTTCTGGGAGTGAGCTGAAGGCGCTGCAGTAGCATCGCCTCGGGCCGGAGAGCTGCCGTTGCCTGGCAGCTGCGGGTTTCCAGGGAAACCAGAGGTGCTAACTTGTTAATGAGCCCCGCGTCCCTGATTGCTGCTGCAAAATAATAATAATTAGTAATGGGCCTGTGATTTAGGAATCCCTCAAACAGCGTGAGCCTGCCGAGGGGAGTTTGCTAAGTACCAAAGCACCCCCTTGAAAGAAATGAGGGGATAGGGAAGAAAAAAGGGTGTGGAGATTGGAGAAAGTGACGTGTTTTACATCTTATTAAGTGTCTGGAAAGCTGTGGTTGGGTGGGGTCCTGCCAGTGTCCCAGCAATAAGCCTGGGGCTGGTGGCAGACCTGACCTGGATGGACGGAGAAGCCCTGGCCAGGCAGCATCTCAATGCAGGGCTCAGAAGGCACAGATATTTCCCCAGATGGGCTGCAGGGGGAAAAACCAGATCACTTAGCTCAGTGCCACTGGGTCCCTGGTGGAGATGGCAGTTCTTTGGGAATGGCTGGTTTTAGATTACTGGGGACAAACGAGCAGGTGTTTCCTGTGGTGCTCTTATTCCTTGGTATAAGAGGTGGAGGTGCCAATAGAAGAGTGTGCTCCTGCAATGAGCATCACAGGGAGCGTGCTGTAGATCCAGTCTCACTTGCGTATTGGAAATATGTGCGGTCAGAGCTGCTTCCCACAGCAGAGCTGGCCTGCCTGGGGCAGTGAGGGGAGCATCTCCTCAACTGGACTGCGTGGGGAGGGTAGAGTTCTCCAGGACACAACTACTAGCTTGGTGCAAGAAATGGACGTGCTGGTTAGTGAGGTTTGTGGTTGATGCAGAGACCTGCTAAAACCAAATCTGTGCCCTTCCCATACCATGTGTCTCAGCTGGGAGCCTTGTGCAAGACGAGACATTGAGGGAAGTGGCCTTCACCTCATGATCTGTGTTGGGCTGACATAGGGATGAGTTTCTGTGGCCCAGCATGCCACACAGATAGACTCAGGCTGAGGTGTGTGTCAGGTTTTCTTACTCTCTTACCTAGCCTGCCCAGAAGAGGGTCACAGCCAGATTGAACATTTGCTCTTGGCCTGGCTTGCTGTGTGTATTTCTGTCACACTCATGGCTGGTGCCCAACGCCCCTCACCTGACATGCACATTTGTGGAGGTAACTCCAGGGACAGAGTCCCAGTGAGTGGGCAGTTGGCCCACTTGTGATAAGCTCTGCGGGTCTTTCTGTCCCTCGGCTGCCGTGTGGCCTCTCCTGCTGGCTGTCCCCATTCAGCTAAGCCGTGTGCCCATCTCCTCATTACAGGCACACCAGGGAGAGGTGGGATTAAAGGATTATGGGAGTGTTCTTCAGGAACACTCAAGAAGATTAAGATGGCTTTAATAAACTGATAAGTGAGGACACACAGCTATGTTTCTGAAACCCTAATTTAGGTTCCAGGTTAACCTTTTCCCCTGGTCTCCTCTCACCATGGTGAGAAGATCTCTTACTTCAGCAGTGCTCCAGGTAGTACCTCTTCCTTCAACTTTCCTTCAGAGCTATCTGAGCAGAAGCAGAAAGACATCTTTCCTCCTTCTCTGGTAAGGTAGGGGAATGTTACAGCTCATCTAAAAGACCATCTAACACACAGCCTGTAAGGTACTGTGAAGGTCTCGTAGCCTCTGCTGGTACCTGGAATACCTGTTAGCTGGGGATGAACTCACCACCCCTTAGTCTGGCTTCAAAATGTCCCGTGGTTGCTGTCGGAGGAGTTGCTTGTCTGCCTTTGCCCTGGCTGAACATACACAGAGAAGTCTTGGTTCTAATGCCAAGGCTGCAGCTCCCTATAACCACACTCAGTTGGCCAACTCCATCCCCTGCAAAGGCTCCTGGAGGGAGGGGCAGAATGGACAATCCTTGCCCTGCCTTTCCCCCTCTCTTTTGGATGGAGCTGGGAGTGGCACCTGTTAGATCTGTCACATGTCTGTCACTGGGTCCACCTGGGCATGCTGGAGTGGTTGTTCTGCAGGAGGGCTGACTTGGGAAACCTCGTCTGTCTTCTCCAGTCTCTTCCACCCAGGCTTCCTGTCATCTGCCAGAACTTTATTCAGGCCTTTTCTGCTTGGGCTTCTCTTAGACTGGTAAAGCAATCAGGATCTGTTCTTGTTCCCACACCGCTCTGTTTGCATCTGAGACCCCCGAAGTTTCTTGCTTGTTGTCTGGAGATCGGGTACCATGTTATCTCTGGAGGTAATGTGCAATGTTGGCTCACTCCTTCTTCCCACCTGAGTCCTTCACTCTCATCCCTCTGCCACAGTATTATCTGAATCTTTTTCGTCTGTCTACTCTTTCTATTCCCTTTTTTATTTCTTGGATGTAAATGTAAGAGCTGAGAAGAATTCACAGCCTGGTGTCCTGATTGGGAAGGGAGGCAGAAAGTGATTTGGGGAGTGGGGTGTGAAAGGAAGACGAAGGGGAAAAGCTGGCTAATTTGCATCCTTTCTGAGTGCCCTGGCTCTATAGCCAAGGTACAGCAGGGGGTCTTCTGGCAAGGCGGTAGCAACGTAATGAGGTGTGTCATATCCCAGCAGGAGCCAGCCTCGCTCCCCCTCAGACCCCCTAATTAGAACTGTTTCAATTTTTAAGCCCCCCTGAGGAGTTCTGGGGGGAGCGGGGTTCCTGCCGTGGGGGGACCGCCCGGCGCCCACCGAGGGGGCAGCTCTAATTGGAGTCGCCACGAGGAGCCGCAGAACGATACGTGGGGCCGGGGACAGCGATGCCATAGTGCCGCAGGGTTGCCAAAGTGCTTTATGCCAGGAGGGGCCATCACTAATGCAGCTTTTAGGGGATTTTTTTTTCCCTCCCATAATTTGTATTAACACATTGGCAGAGGCAGCAGGGGTGTGAGACAAAGGGCAGAGAAGCATTGCACATCCTAATGTGGCCTCATACTGGGAGCTTGGATCCTTAGGCTGAAGCCTGGGACACCTACTCCTGCTTTGGGAGGCAGGTCTGGTAGCCCAGGGAAGTGTGGGCTGTTAATGCTGGTGTCATGAGCCAGAGCAAATGCTGGAATCCCCATCCTCGTGTTCTATGGCTTTCCATCCTTTTCCTACAAGCTGGCTGTGTCCTCCAGGTTTGGTGACTGGTAACTGAGGTCCCTGTCATGTCACCCAGTAGTGTGTCCAACTTGTATCTTGAGCTACCACTGCAGTAGGTTCCCACACTACAGAGGCTTCAGCTATAGGAGCTAACTTCTGACTTGCTTGGATCAGGGTGACTCATAAGCCTCCTCTAGTCCATGGACCAAATCCTGATCTTGCAGAAGTCAATGAAAATCTTTACGCTGGCATTTTCAGGCACGTAATTCATAGTCCTCCTAATTCAGATGCATTAAAGCTTCCATGAAGCAGCTTGTGGGTTCTCTCTAAAACACCGTCTGGCAGGAACAAGAGGAGCCTGATAGTAGCCCAGGCTTATTTTCTGAATGACTGCAGCGGCATTAAAACCTAATGCCATTAAAACATGCCTGCAATGACGTCTTCCATTAAAACCTAAGAAGACACCCTGAGCTGAATGCTCCCTAGCGTGCCTATTGCTCTTGCAGATCCCATGGAGTCCTTCCCCATGGAGGAAACTTGTTCTTCTGATAGCACTTCAGAGAGCACCAGGCTCAACTCCTTCTCAGCTCCTAAGATGGAAACACAGGGTATTCGTATGCAGGATACCCCCATATATGAACCCCCTTTCTAAGTCTGCACAAGTTGGATGCTGCAAAATAGTAGGCTCTTTGGGGCCATCTCAGTCCAAGTACAGCTTCCCAGGCCCTCTGTCCTAATGCCTGGGTTGTTGCTTGAAGACAAGAGTAAAGGTCAACTCGACTTCTTGTCTTCTAAGAGAGGTCATCTTCTCTTGACTTGCCCAGAGGCAAGCTGGCAAAGATACCTGTGAGCAGGCTCTGATAAACAGGCAGGTGAAATCCAGTGTGAGCTGATGGACATGAGTGAGCAAACCTGATTTGGTGGTGTGTCTGATGGGCCCTGAACTAGCTTTTATCATGCAGCAGCAGAACCTTAGAGCTGAGCTAAGCTGCTTCTGTGAAGCCATTAGCTCCGTGCTTGGCAGAGGTCAGAAAAAGCAAATGGAGTGCAAGGAGCCATTGGGCTGGGAACAGGGAAGGAAGGTGACATCTTACCCTGTGCAGGTCCCTGGTGTGCCTGCCTCTCAAACTCGGCACATGGTGGCTGGCCAGGGTGGCAAAAGGTGTCTATGCAACAGGCAGCTCTGTAGATGCTTTGACCTGCAAGGCTCCTAAAGGAGGTCTAGATGTGGCAAGAACTGTGGGGAAGGTGATTAGGAAACAGGCATATGTGGCCTTTTCCAGTGCAAGTAGTAAGGGTCACCCAGAGGAGCCATCAGTTAGCAGATTTGGAGCAAACCAGGGGGTGGACTTCTTCAGTGTAGCTGACAAACCATTCTAGTCCCTGGCCCTGGCCCCTGCCCCACCACTTTTAAATTAAAAGCTGACATGGCTTCAAAAAGCAATTAGACAAATTCATGGAAGAAAGTTCCACTGAGGGCTATTAAATACAAAGAGAAAGCCTTTGGTTTGGGCAGCTCTGGAGCCATAGATGCCCTCAGGCTAGGAGAACATACTTAGAAAATGTGGCTTGTTCCACTCTTAGGCTCTTCTGAAGACATCTTCAGAAGACCAAGCCCTTGGGGACTTGGCCCAAGATGTCATCCTGCCCAGCTGACCAGTTGTCATCTCCTTTCTTCTCTTTCCAGGTTCAGCACAATGAGTTGGCACTCTGCGTGTTAGCAGCGTGAGGACACTAGGACAGGAGCTGCCCTGCTCACCCCTTACCCCCTCGCTCATTCCCCTTGGGGAGACGGGTGCTGGCGTCCCTGCCTTGCCCTTCCACCCCTTGCCCCCCACTCTCCATAGAGGGGACAGGCCCGTTATGGCTGGGGACAGGCTCCCACGCAAGGTGATGGACCCCAAGAAACTGGCCAGCCTCCTGAGGAACGGAGCAGAGGGCACCCTGGTCATCGACAGCCGCTCCTTCGTGGAGTACAACTCCTGGCACGTCCTCAGCTCCGTCAACATCTGCTGCTCCAAGCTCGTTAAGAGGAGGCTCCAGCAGGACAAGGTCTCCATCACGGAGCTCATCCAGCCTGCCTCCAAGATGAAGGTAAAGGATCTGACCCTCACCTCTCCTGGTAGATGCTCACATCCTGTTCCCTGGTGGGATTCAGGCTGGCCTAAGGGCCACCTGATACATGCATCCTCCTCCTCCATCCCTTGACCCCAGTATCTGCCAGCATCTCTGTGACGCCCTTTGGAGAGCTGGAGCATGAGCTCATGTGGCCACAGGGCTGTCCTCAGGGACCTGTTTGTTGCCCCTACCCCACTAACATGGCTCCCTGCTCCAGGACAAGCAAGTCTAACAGGTATATCGGCCTTAGGACTTGTCTTATGCCAGCAAACAACCCCCCAAAGCCTTCCCAGAGCTGTAAGCTTAATCCCGTGCTAAAAACTCTTCCCCTCCCCTCTGTCATCTCTAACTCCATTCAGGGACATGTAATCCTCCTCCCCTGTGACGCCAGAAGCTCTTATCCGGTGTCATGGCATATTATCTCTCCCAGGCTCCTCTCTCTATCGCTTCTGGTTAAATAATAGAGGTGGCTCTGAGCCACGGAGCTGGGCTGGAGTCCCGGCCAGCACAGTGCCGGGTCCCCCTATCGTGCCGTGGGGCTGGCCCCTGCTCTACCCTGAGATGCTGCCGGAGGGCTGTGCCGCTGCGTGCCGAGATGCTGCTGGAGAGCTGCGGCGGTGGATGCCGCGCTGGCCGCGGGACGAACGAAGAGGGTGGTTCACCATCCAAAGGGTGGTTTGCCATCGCAGCCCGCCCTCCTGCCGCTTCGCTCTCACCGTTCCCCCCCCATCCCGCCTTGTAATTTTATGGCAAAGCGAGGGTAATTCAGGCGATTAATCAAATGCTCGGCCCAGCTGGAGCCATCTGCGTCGTGTCCCCCCCCTCCCTCGCCACCCCGAGAAGGCACCGCTGCCCGCATTGGCTGCCGGTGACATCACCCCGCCGGGATCAAGGGGACTGGCAGCGCGGGGGGGCCGGCCTCGCGCCAATCTGCTTCGGTGATGCTCTGGGCTGGGCGATTTGGAAAGGATTGCGGAGACTGATTCCTGAACGGCTTTAGCTGCTCTTAAATCCCCGGGAGAATAAAGCAGAATAATCAGTTTTTCGCCAGCTCTGAGGAGAGCGGTGCGGCCGCCCTCCTCCAGGCGAGGGTCACCTCTGCAGTGGCCGCCGTCACGTGGAGCGGCAGCAGCAGCAGCAGCAGCAAAACGATGCGCAAGGGGGAGGAAGAAGAGGAGGATGATAGGGAAGAAGGAAACATGGAAGAGTTAACATCAACTGATGCCATCCGCCTGCATACCTGCAGCTTTCCAACTGCAGAGGAGCAGTGGCTCCCAAAGGGGTTGGCTGGTCCTTCCTGGCATTCCCTGCTCTGTCCCCATAGAAGGAGCATAGAAGGATCACCTCCTCCTGCTCCTGGATCATTGCATAATGTTTCATATAGTGGCTCAGGACGTGATTATAACCAGGGATGCCAGGGAGACAGAGGAGAGGCGTTGCCACCATCTTCTATTCATGGGGTTTTCCTTTTTTCCTCTCTTTTCAATACGGCTGAAATCCCTCCTGGCACATCCACGGGAGGAGGCAGAGTGTGCCACTCTGCACAGCCCCTGCCATGCTCACTGCTTGCATGCTGGCCCTCCCAGCACACGCAGCCCAGGAATTAATTAAGCTTTAGAACACCCTTGAGAGGTTAAGCCACTTGTCCTGGGAAGCTGGAAGGGGGAACCACAGTGTGGGGGGATCATTCTATATTCTCTCTCTATATATATATATATTCTCGATTTTTCTAGTATCTCTATATTTCTGGCATAAAGCAGGAGTGGTAGCCGTGGCTCGGGGTATCCAAGCCTTTATATGCGTGCATTTGTGTGTTTGCATGTTGGGGTGATGAACTTTTCCTCCCATTTCAGCCACTCGGGTCGTGGTTTTGGGACCCACGGAAACCAGTATGGTCTGTTGCCTCGAGGTGCACAGACCCTCCTCAGAACGGGATGCTGAAAGCCAGTTTAGACCTCCAATACCTTGTGTCATTTCCCTGCCTCCACTGCCATCGCTGGCCAGCACCCCCAGCCCTGCTCTGCCCCGGGCTCCGCGCACCGGGGCTGGTGGGGGCGGTGGGGCGAAGCAGGGCGGAGGGGCGGTGGGGTGGGCGGGGGGCACAGGCTGCGTTGGGAGCAGATGGCAGGAAGGGTGACATCAGTGGCGCGATTGTCCGGCCCCATTATTCCTCCTGACGGGCCTCCCGCCCTCCTCCTGTTTCCTGCTCCCGGCCGGCCGGGGCTGCCGAGACAAAGGCGGCTGGCAGCGACGCGGGGCTGCCCGGGCAGCCAAAGGGCAGCCCCCAAACCTCGCCTCGTCCCACTCCTTCTCTCCTGCCCTGGGCAAAGAGAGCTGGACCTGCACATCCCGCCTCGGTGATTTTCAGGGTGGTGATGACCTTTTGAGGGAGGAGGCAGGGGCAAAGCGTTTGGGCAAACCCCACCGCCAACTCAGCTGCTCCCGCCTGCGTGCTGGCAGGGGGGATGAGAGCATTTGTCTAATTCGCTTTTCCCAGGATTTACTCTCCTCTTTTCTGTGTTGCTGCTAAGGAAGGGTACCATTGACAGTGCTTCTGGGAACTGCAGTTTGGGGAAATGCTGCAGAATAACAGCAGCCACTGGCTTTTTTGGTGCAAGGAATGGAAAGGACCAGTTGGGAGGAAAGAAGAAATCCAGACATTAAAAAACCCTTTCTTTATTTCAGTTAAATATGCCTGTGATACTAAAATTGTGGCAGCTATAGCTGCCATAGCTGAGCTACTGCTCTCCATTCCCTGGTATGGAGCATCTTCCCATGGTGCCTGAACTGGCAAAAACTGCAGCAGCAATTCATCTCCCAATTAGCAGTAGTTTCCCTCCACACAAAAATGGTACCAACACACTGCTCTGGTTCGTTTTTAACCCTTCTCCCAATATTGACAATAATAAATTCTCACAATAACAAATTCCAATAACAACTGGAATCATTCAGCTCCTCAATGCAGTTTGGGGAGCAGAGGTTATAGGAAATTCCCGCTTGGGGTTTTCACTAGCATTTCTTTAGGGAAATGTTGAAAATTTTCCTTCTTCAAGATCCCCCTGGAAAGTCCACCTCTCGATGGCTTCTCACTTCCTGAAATGGAGCTATCTCCAGAGCAACGATAGCCTTGGTTTCAGGCAAGACACGGGTCTCTCCTGGCGATGGCATTATTGATTTATTTGCATTAGGAGCATGGCTCTGCAAGCAGCTGTTTTGCTTGAGGGAAAGCCGGGGCTTATTTTTGAGCCGTGTGCCTGGTTGCTCTTTATGTTGATGGAAGCCCTGTTATTTTAGTGGGGTGATTCACTGTGTTTTGAAACAATATGTGACTGAGATGTCAGTAGTAATTGGGATAATAATAATAGCTGGCTCTTATCTTAGCCTGGATCACCTGTAGAGCATCATTATCCCTGCTTGGCAGCCGGGGAGAAGCGAAGCAGGGACCTGGGCTGTGTTGAACCATCCAGTGCCAGGGACTCATGTCCGTAAGGGAGCTACCTTCACCCAGAGCCGGAGAGGGTAATGGGGAGCACAGGGCTTGGCACAAAGACAGCAAATGGATGATCTCAGCTAGAGTTTGGCTGGAATGGTTGGCTGGGTGGTCCCTGCTCCAGGCTGGCCACACCCCTCCGGCCAATATGTTAGCAGGGAGAAGGTTTGTCCGTGGGGAGCTGTTCTGGGGCACCTCCAGCACTGGAGTGGGCCAGCAGCTTTTCAAAGGCACACGTGGGTTTGCAAGCCCCACTCAACATCTCCTTGGAGCCAAAAGACTTGCTGTGTCTTGGCCCCACTGTCCCTTGCTGGCTGGATGTGGGGAGCCTGCCTGGAGGATGATGCCTGAGGTTCGGTTACTTCAGCAGTCTTGGGATTATGGCAACCCCTGTGAGAGAGCTCCCACCATGGAGGTGCTGCTCCTCAGAAGGACAGTCTGTTTTCAGCTGTGCCCCTGCCCTATGCCAGCACCTGGCAGGACTCTAGCACAGAGTGTCTCTTCAGCTCCTCTTCTGCTCCTGTTAGCTTTTAACCTCCCTCCATTTGAGACCAGAGATGGGGTGTATCAGGAGGGCGTGAGACTAATGGGAGACCCATGGACCTGATTAAACATCTCTGTCTCATTTGCCTTTGTGGTGAGGAGCCAGGATACCAGTGCAGACTCCTTGCATACTCGTCAGGACCATCCTTCTGACATCCTTGTCCCAGCAAGCCACATATTTATTTTCTGCAGCCAGGCCATGTGAGGCCAGCACTTGTTTGGCATTTACATTGAGTGAAACCTTATAACTTTAATAAGATGTAAACCGTGTCGCACATCTCTGCCGTCGCTCAGCAACCCTGTAGTAATGGCCCAAACAAAGCCTCCCGGTGTGGAGGGAACACTAAATCCTATTGTGGAATAACTCTGCTCGACCAGAGCTGGTATCTCTCCTGCAGCCGCCTCGGCCTGGACTGTACAGCTGGCATAAGCCCCTGCCCCACCATAGATCAGTCCCTGCCTCACCAAGCTTTTTGGGAAGGTTTTTTTGCTGGCATGAGGCTTCACGCTGGGAACTGGATCTTTGGGATGTGCTCGAAGGACTTGAAGAGATAGTGGCCTTCGGAAGGATTGATGGGCTCCCAGCTCCAAACGGGCTTGTCAGCCACTGTGTTTTCCTCCAGCTGTGCTTGAGATGACCTCCCACAAAAGTCCTGATTCAGGGGTGGCTGAGGAAAAGATGCTGGAGTAGATCCTCATCTGACTTTTCCCAGGTGGCTTCAGTCATTTTTCAGTGTCTTATTTTAAAATTCCTGTGTCCTTTTCTCTTCCCTCTCATCCTGCCTTTTCATCCCTCCTGTCATCATGCTGAGCCATGGGGAAAATTTTTCTCTCCAGTGCCTTGTGCCAGGTGGGGGACAGGTAGGTCCTTTAAGCCGCCCTCTTCCTAGTGCTAAGCCGAGTGTGGTGCCCTGATGGGGATTTCTGTTGGTGCGGGGCTGTCCTTCCGCTGCAGTGGAGAGATGTGATGAGCTCAGCTAAATCAGTGCGCCCTGCAGGTTTATTTGGATGTTGCTCACGTTGCCAAGCAGGGAAGCACCTGCAGCAGGGTGTGAAAGCAGCATTAATAGCAACAGCAACCCTGAGTGGATCTGCTCTGGTGGTAAGATAGGGCTAGGCAGTGAGACAGCAAAAGGAGGCAGGCATCCGTGAGTGGTAGCTTGTTCAAGTGGTCTTTTAAAGAGGTTTTGGAGAGGGCTGGGCAGGGGGTGGGCAATGGGCAGCTCCAACAGTAGCTGGAGAAGAGAGCGGCTTGCAGGCACATTCCCTCCTTCCCTGCCTGCCGCTGCCTCCCCTTTCTCCCAAGATGTGATGAATGTGTCTTACTCTGCCGGCTGGGAGGGCAGGCGCTCTCAAGCCAGGCGTATGCCATACACCCAGCTACTCAGCAGATGTGCTGAGCTGTGCCTCTGTGAGGACTTCTGTCTTCTTTTAATGCACTCTGAACATCCACCAAGTGAAAGAAGATATTTTCCCTCTTTCAGCCCTTAGGGGTGATCTGCAGGTTTGGAGTGAGCTTCCAGAGGGGTAATGCCTACAGGGGTATTACTGTGCTGGGCATGGTGTCTCCAGGCTGAGTCCTGAAGAGCTGTTGCTCTAGCTGTCCTGATTCCAGTCGCATCACAAGGGTTGTGCTGGGAGCACCCCTGGCTGCAGAACCACTCCCAAATCCCTGTGACACCTGCCAGGCTGCAGAGGAGTGTCTGAGGGCAAAAGCTGCCTGGGGAGGAGGTGGTGGAAGAAGCTGCAGCAATTTCTGGGATGCAGTTAAGTAACAGCAAGCTGAGGGTGGGCGATGGGGAGGAGTGCCCCTATTTTGGGTAGGATGCTCAAAAGTGCTTGCAGTTGGTGGGGCTGCTCCAATGGGCATCTGCACTGTCACACTCCATTGTAGCTGTGGAGTAGAATCCCAGGCTGGCTGGTGAGCAAAACCAGCTCATGGAGATGGTGTGGAGCTGGAGTTTCTTGCTTGTGTGACCGCTAAATTTGTCTTTGCTTCCCATGGTGGTGTGGACAGCAGCATCCTCAGTGCTCAACCTATTTCTCTGATCACTGTTTCTCACCGCTCCCCTGCAGGTGGAGGCGGAGGAGCACCAGGACGTGGTGGTCTATGACCAGAGCACACGGGACGTGACCGGCTTGGCTGCCGACAGCTTCCTCTCCATCCTTCTGGGCAAGTTGGACAGCTGTTTCCACAGCGTCTCCATCCTCACAGGTAGGAGCCCTGCATTACCACTTCATCTGATGCTCATGCCCTTAGTCTGGAGCTACAGAGCTGTGGCTGTTCACATCCATGTACACCTGCTTTCCTGGCTGCCAGCTGCTGTGGTGGAGGAAGGCAGCCCTGCGTGCGGGCTGAGGCGGCTCGACCCACATTGGCATCACTGGGTCCTCCCCATGCCTTTGTTCCTTGCACTGTCCGTCTCGCCTCCACTGCACCCACCAGCCAGGGTGAATAAAGGAGGAGGGTATGGTGGGGTTGTGGTGGCATGGATCCAGCCATCCAAAAGCTGCCCTTTGTTCTACCATCCCTTCGTTACTTCATCCCTGGCAAATGTGCCAAGCACCCAACCTGATTCAAGCACTTTGTTCCCTCTCGCTGCTGTTAAAGGGAGGGCAGGAGGAGAAATCCATGGATGTGCTGGAAAGAAGGGGAAGGAGGGCAGGGGCAGAGGGTCATCACTGAGTGAGTCAGGGTCTGCTGGAGATGATGCTCTCCAGGCACAAGTGTGCAGGCAGGAGGAGGCACGTGCTGCCCTAATTACAGCTCTTCTGCAGTGCAAAATGTGAGGCAGGCGACTGATGAATGAAAAGGTCTGACCCATTAGAGAGGAGGAGAGAGAGGCAATGAACTGCCTAAGGGAAAGCTAAAGCTGTCTTTAATTCCCCATGTCTGGGACAGCTGGGTGTCTGCCTGGTTGGCTGCCTGTCTCTGACACTTTCTGCCCATGGAGGGGTGGGCAGGCACTGCCCCTTGCAACCCCTCAGTGTTGCTGAGCTCAGCCAGGCTCCTAAACAGTGGCAAAAGCACAGAGGTGGGAACCACCTCTGTCCCTCAAGCCTGTCCTCCTCCTATGGCAGTTGGGTACTGCTTTGGGACTGAAGTGGAGGGTACAGACGTCTGTGCCCCGGGGCATCACAGGCATGGAGGGAGCTGCCATCCTCACAATCCAACAGGGTGACAGACCCTGGGAAGGGGTGGTTGTGATAGGGAAAGTAGCACAAACAACTGGCATTAGGGAGCCTTGCCCATGCAAGGCAGGGGTAAGTGCTGATGAATTAGAGCAGCTGCACTGTGATGGGGAGAACAGAGCAGAGAAACAGCGGGAATACACCCACTGGTTCAAGGGTTTCAAAAAAGGCAGGGACTACATGAAATCACATTAAAGCTAATTAATGTGGCCTGGGTTGCAGGAGCTCTGCTGAGGCCAGTGCTGGAGGATGCTGCCATGAGCTTGCTGTGGCAGCCCCTGGCCTGCCCCAGCAGCCGTGCCTGCAGTTTTGAGGTCATCGTGGCATAAACAAGGGCACAGTTTGGTGCGTGGTGCAGGAGGAGGAAAAAGTGGATTCAGTTGCATCAGGTGCTTAGTTATGGGGATGGGTCAGGGAATGGGTCATGGAATCAGCTTTGGTGGCATGACCCTGACACCCCTAACCTGCTGCCACTTTCCCACAGCTGGGGCCGTGCTGTGAGGTGGCTGCAAACCCCCACCCCGAGTCCTCCTGGAGCCAGAGCAGGGCTGGGTGAGGAGGCCCTGAAAGCCCCAGAGACTATTTCTGCCTGGTCAGGCAAGCGAATGGACTTGGGGGACCCTCGTAGTACTGGTGCACCCCAGCCACATGCCCAGCATGCCCCTTGCTGGGTGAGCGCTGGCAGCATGCCACCCCCTCGGCCATCAGCATCACCGCCACCAAACCCCCTGCTAGCAAACTGCTGCTCCCTGCTTGGGCACACGCATCCTCCCTCTTCAGGGCAGCCATTTCCATCCCCCTGGGCTGCAGGAGCCCAGACCCCCAAGCAGGAGTGTGGCTCTGCTAGGCACCAAGCAAAGCTCAAACCTCCCAAATTAAAAGCGCCCCAGGGCCACAGCCTCATGTGGAACACGGGCCACCAGCAGGTGGAAAAAACTGGAACTGAAATGTAGAACACTGGGTCATGGCGGCGGTGCTTTACATGGAAATCCTGACTGGAAGTGGCTGCGCAGAGCTCCGGGGGAGGCTGGGCACACTTGCCGACAGGCACAGCTTCCTCCTGCCTGCAGTGCGGGCAGTAACCGGGCTGTTTTAGGGGCAGCTTTGGAGGGCTTGGGAAATCTCAGGCAGGATGTGCCTGATTCTGCCTCCTTTCCCTGGTGGAGTTTAACCCCTTGGTCTGTCCGCTCTGGGCTCAAGCACTTTGTCCTGCCCCAACCCATTCCATGCCTCTACCTGGAGGTGGCTTGTGACCCCACAGGGCTGGCAAGAGCTGCTGAAATCTCAGCTTGTCCCTCAGTGGATGCCATCACCACCTGTCCTGAGGGTCCCCAGTTCAGTGTGGCAGCCCTACACAGCCCCTCTGTGCTTCCCAACTCTCCTCAGCCCCAGCAGATGCCGAGGTCCATCCAGCCTTCATGTCTCCACCTCATGCAAACACCGCACTTGGCCTTTCTTGCTCACCTCCAGACCAGTGACCTTCTGACCCTTGAAGCAGCTGATGGAGGATGATGAGTGAGGACAGGGGAGCTGGGGGTGGCGGGACTGATGCCAGGGACTCCTTAAGGGTTAACAGCCCAGAGCAGCGATTCCAGCGGCTGGGAAGGAAGAATCTGAGTCAATTATTCCCAGTCTTGGAAATCATCAGCTTTTCTTCTTTTTTTTTCCTTTTTTTTTTTTTTTTTAATTGTGTAAGTATAAATAGTGCTGCTTGCTGCCCTCCATCCGTGGGAGCAGAAAGACTGTTGATTTATATGGTTTTCCTGACATCACATGAAGTGGTGGAAAACTGAATGGAGCCAACATTTTTCCTGCATTACGTAATGCCCCCTCCCTCCCAGCCCAGCTCTGCTATTCCTGCAGGAGCCTGACTGTTCTTTAACCTTTGTTTACTTCAGCACAAACCCTTGCTTTTTTTGCTTTTTCTTTTGCTATTTTTTTTCCTTTTATTTTTTTTTAACTGTGCTTTTTCCCCCTCTTTCTTCTTGCACTTTGCAGTCTCCCGCTTGGTTTTTATTAACAGCCATTATCTTCTTATGAAGCAGCAGCAGCAGCAGTCTGGCTCCATTGCTCCCTGATGGCTCCTGCATGTCAGCTCTTGCATGGGAGCCTAGCCAGAGCCGTAGAGTGGTGCTGAGCTGCTGGGTGCTGAGCTTCACCAGCTCCTCTCTATTTGTCCAGGTGCAGTGGACAGTGTGGAGATTTTCTTTTACTCCTGTTTCATGGCTAAAAGCAACAGCTGAGGGCTTGGGATGCTCGTCCAGATGATGCTCAGGCACCCATCCTGTCCCTACCATTGGTCCTTAGGCTGAGCACCGGGCTCTGCTCTCCTGCATTTGAAGCCATGTTCCAGCTGGAGATAAAAGCAGGGTGGAAGTGTGGCCAGTGGCAGTGGTCCCCGCAGCTTGGGACCCCCCTTGCACAACAGAGACACTTTTCACTGCGGTTTCATGTGCAGGGGGAGCTTTACCATTGCGATATCGTGCTCCGACCTGAAACAGGCCCCTCAATTGCTTTCTGAACTCGAGTCATGAGCTTTTCATCTGGCTCGGGAGCATGTGTGAGATCATCCTCAGCGCCCCCCTCCCCCCGCTTTTGTACCAATTCTTCAAGGAATGTTTAAATTTTCCAGTCCTGTTCTTTCTAAATTTGGAGCGTCTGTTTACTCCCAGGATTCGGAAAGAATGTAACAATATCATCAGCAACAAATCCCTCCCAGCCCTCCGCTCGCCATCCTCCTCCTCAGCAGCAGGCTGGCCTCGGCAGCGCTGGCCATGGCCCAGGTCCTTTCCAGCCCAGCGGTGCCATGGCCATCAGGCATGGCTGGAGAGAACTGCAGTTGCATGGCAGCAGTGATCTGGAGGGGGCTGAGATCTGGGGGATTTTGGGGGAATCTACCTAAGACAGGTGACTTCAGAGCACGCAAAATGAAGTAGTGAAAAAGAAAAGGGGATTTCCATTGCAGGAGCTGACTTGGGCTGCCCAGGCATGAGTGGATTCAGCACTGAAGCACTGGCTGGAATTATTTTAGAAACAAGGACTCAGGGACAGATGATTTTAATTAAAAAAAAAAAAAATGAATGAAAAAAGTCATGCTAGGCAGGTGCAAAAGCAGCACACAGGTAGTGTAGAAAAGAGGGGGCTTGCCTTCAGTCCAAGTCTCAGGGGCCGGAGGCAGCGTGTAAACCTGAAAGGCAGGAAAAGTACAAAAGAATCTGCAAAGCTTGTCATGGCAGAAGCTGAAGCTAAAAGCTTAGTAAGATCTAGAATCAGAACTGAGGTGTCTTTACAAACCCAGTGCAAGAAAAAAGAATAATCTAAAACCTAAAGCAGAAAATACCCCAAACGAGCACTAAGGTCATCAGTCACAAGCTGTGTGGTGGGAATGGAGAAGCAGGATCCAACTGCACTGGCTACTTGATGGTCATCTTTCTCATCACCCATTCTGGAACGCATCACAGTTTCATCTCTTGACTTTGGTGTGTGAGTGTGGTTGCTGGGGACACAGAACATGCAGAATGCACTAGCTGGTGGATTTTGTCCTCTGACTGCAGCAGAACCTCTGCTCAGTATGCGGGCCTGAAGGTGCACATGTCAAGCGTTAAGGCTATTTCAGGTACTCTCAGGCTGTAATATCCAAGAGCAGAGGTGGACTTACTGCCATGAATCTATCAGATGTATCTACAAGGTTTTCCTTTAAAGTCTAATTACTGTCTCTGAACCTCCTGCAAGCACTTCTGTCCACCCGTGGATGCCACCATCCCATAGGATACTGTGAGGAACCAAAAGAAGCAGATCCTCAGCTGGCAGGAGTGTGGATGTGAATGAGGTGGGCACAGGGGATGACACAGGAAAAAGTGCTCATGTGGGACTCTCAATTTCTTGCTTTTCTCAGATTTGGGAGTTTTGAAGAACCAGTTTTGCAAATAATGTGAATGGGGCTTCTTTCTGGTTGTTCTTCATCTACAAACTGCCCATGTGATAGTCAGGAATGGAAGAAGAGTAAGAAGGGCTGTGGAGGGG